GCCTGAAAAGTGACTATAGAAATACGACTGGTCAGGATTGGAAGCCCACGAATTCGGAGGCAGCGTCGAAAAAGGAAAAGCAAAATTCTCCCAAGCCCGGAAAGACGTCGGAGAAAGAAGTTGCGAAACACGCGGATAGTCAGGATGCAGATACAAGCAAAACTGGGACGAGATTAGGACTGGAGGCGAAGAAGGAAGAGAACTTCTTTGATTGGTATTCGCAAGTTATCACGAAGAGCGGAATGATTGAATATTATGACGTGTCAGGATGCTACATTCTTCGTCCGTGGAGTTTCTTGATCTGGGAGATGATAAAGGAGTACATCGATAAAAAGATAAAGGCGCTCGGTGTTGAACCATGCTATTTTCCGATGTTCGTTACTCGTGGCGCATTAGAAAAGGAGAAGGCGCATATAACGGACTTTGCCCCGGAAGTCGCGTGGGTAACAAAATGCGGCGAAGACGATATGGCGGAGCCCGTAGCTATACGGCCCACCTCGGAGACTGTTATGTACCCGGCTTATGCCAAATGGCTGAGGTCTGACACCGAGTTACCTCTTAAGCTCAATCAATGGAACAACGTTGTGGTAAGTATTATCAGTCTTTTTTCTTTACTCTACTTTAATACCGCTCCGTTTCAATTATCTTATTTTTGTTGCAGAGATGGGAATTTAAAGATCCCAAACCGTTTCTCCGCACCAGAGAATTTTTATGGCAGGAGGGTCATACCGCGTTTGCTACGAAGACGGAAGCGGAGGAGGAAGTGTTGATCATTTTAGATATGTACGCTAGAGTTTATGAGGAGTTGTTAGCGGTGCCCGTCATCAAGGGTTGTAAGACTGAAAAGGAGAAGTTCGCGGGTGGCGATTATACCACTACTGTCGAGGCGTTTATTTCAACTAACGGTCGCGCGATACAGGGAGCGACGAGCCATCATCTAGGACAAAACTTTTCGAAAATGTTTAATGTCCAGGTAGAAGGTATCGCGGATGGAGAAAAAACGTTTGTCTATCAAAATTCATGGGGTTTAACTACACGAACTATTGGAGTCATGATAATGGTTACTACAATTATTATCATTATATATAGATGACACATGGCATGCTGCATAAGCTATGTATTTTATAATAAATACTTATTTATTTAGGTACACGGAGATGATCGAGGTTTGGTATTACCTCCAAATGTAGCACCAATACAAGTTATTGTGATTCCCTGCGGTATAGTCGCAAGCATGTCTGAGTCAAAGAAAAAGGAACTTCGAAATGAATGCGCCTCTCTGGTCAAGCAATTGAAAATAAATAATGTTAGAGTGCGGGATGATTTTAGACCTAATCGAACACCTGGATGGAAGTTCAACCACTGGGAGCTGAAAGGCGTACCAATCAGAATTGAATTCGGTCCAAGAGACATGGAAAGAAATGAAGTAACACTAGTACGAAGAGATAACTTTGAGCGAGAAGTTGTCAAAAGAGATGAGTTAATTTTATCGGTAACTTGTATGCTGAAAAAGGTGCAAGACAGCTTGTTACAGAGGTAAATGTTACTCAAAAATTTTTAAGCCAATAACATTCATGAGATAACATATGGTTGACGTCACTCAATTTCATCTATTTGTTTATAGAGCGAAGCACAAGTTAGACGAGCATATTAAACAGGTAGAAAACTGGGACGAATTCAAACTCGAGCTCGATAAAAAGAATTTATTATTGTCACCTTTCTGCGGAGAACCGGAGTGTGAAGATAACATTAAGCAACAAAGCGCACGGTAAAATTTCCTTCTGTACATGAAAAATATTTTTATGTACTTTATATTGCTTATCATAAACTTCAGAAAAATGCATTTATGAATGACTAAAATCTCAAATTAAAACAAAAAAAAAATTTTTTTTTTAAGTAGATTACATTCTGTACATTTTGAGTTGATGTTAGTCGGAATGCTTTTTAAATATCTATGTATTGAAAGAGATTGTAAACAGTTTTTCCGCGGTTTTAATGGTTGAAACAGATGATTAAGAAATAACTCACAAATCTTGCTTTAAATTTTCATTTAATTTGTCACCTAGTGACATCCTCTATTTATAGTTTTTATTCGAAATAAATAGAAAAAATTTAATTAATCACTACAAAAGATATTGTAGAGTTGTGACGATATATAATATTAAAATCTTTGAAGCACTTTTCTTTAAAGTTATATTTTTCGACTTCTACCTTTTTCTAAGAAAGTATGAATTGATTTTTTCAAATTATAATAAAAGTTGAAATAAAATATAGCCAATCATATGAGAAAAGGGATGATTAAAATGTTCTAACTCAGTAATGAAAGAAAGAAACGTGAAAATAAGTAATTTGTTTAATAATTTTTCATCTTGCACTTTTTAATTATTTTTTATTGAATCACTATGTTACATATTATTTATTAATAGTATTTACATATTACAATTTGTTTTTTTACATTAATAATTTGAAAATCTAAATGTAAATTAAATTTGTTAAAAATATATTTAAACTTTCTTTAATTTAGTCACTTAGTGACTAAATTAAAGCAGCTATCTTTTTTTACTCAATATGACTAATTACAGATTGAACACAATGGACGGAACAGTAACTATGGGCGCCAAGAGTCTGTGTATACCATTTAAGCAGCCAAAATTGACGAAACCTATCGAAAGTATCGATGAGTTGAAGCGTATTTTCGAAAGTAACAATGAGTTGAAATGTATTTACCGAGATTGCGAGAACAAAGCGAAGTTTTATACACTTTTTGGACGTAGTTACTAACGCATCCATAAAAGGTTCATATACATATAATGTTTAATAAATTTTACTGAAATTTTTGCATGTAAGTAATATGGAGTTTGTCATTTATTTTTATTTAATTTTTATTTATTCCTTTTGATTTCTCTCTCTCTCTCTCTCTCTCTCGACGAAATTAGCATTATTATGTTTCTGAGGAGAGACGAGGGTACTCAGGGGACGGAGTCGCCGACGAGCATAGTCCAAAAATTGACTCGTAGCCTCAGGATTCCGTGGCGAGAAGCGGTCCGAGATCCGCACGCAAGATCGATCTCGCGCGTTGATTGTTTCTCACTTTTCCAAGTATAATGGCTGCGCTCGAATGAGACGCGGATCCTTACCTTCCTCCCGTCGCACACCAGGCACAAGCTGGTCCCGGGCTTGTCCAAAATTCTAGTGCTCGCAGCCGCTTCAAATGACCGAACGTATTCGCATTGTCACCGGAAGCGTCGACGTAGCAGCGAAACACCATTCCGTCGTGGTACTCGGTGATGCTTCGCGTACCGCTGAGATCGCGTCAACGAAACCTGCCACTGCCGGCCGAGGAATAGCGCGCGTGAACGCGAAGGGAGCAAGATAGAGAAATTTCCCGGGTGAATCCTGCAAACGTCTCTTTACGCACGTGTCGTGGCGAGAAGACGATCGAGGACTCGACTGACTGCCCGTCCTCAGGAGGGGAAGGGTCAGTGATGAGGAATCGATGAAGGATTATTGGCATGGCCACGCGACTCAGCCCCCGAAATTCGGAGGTGAACGCTCTTGAGCAGCGGGGCTATCTCATAGGCAAGAAGATCGGACAGGTTGTTCGTTATTCCCTCTTGTCTTTCGTTTCTCTTACGCGTTTTAATATTTTCCCGCTTCTTCGTCCGTTCTCGCGATAGCACCTTCTTCAATTTGTACAATGGCTTTTGGCTACTATTTAATCAGCCTCTTGACTGTTTTTTAAATTATATTTATTACATAAAGCTGATCTTTATCTCTTTTCATTCTCATCCTCTTCACTTTTTGAATCATCTTGTTGTTTGATGGTCGACCGCGCCAGATACCATGACTACAAATTTTGCGTTTTATAATACGCAGAATTATCGTTTTCAGGGTTCTTACGCGACCGTCCATCTAGCAGAGTATATCGATGGAGCGAGTTCTAAAAAGATGCGTCTGGCCTGTAAGATTTTCGATAAGGAGAAAGCGCCAAACGACTTCTTGGACAAGTTCTTTCCTCGCGAGCTTGAAATTCTAACGAAGATAGAAAATCCGCATATCATTCAAGTAAGAGTAACCAGGAAAATGCTCATCTCTTCGTCTTTGATGAGGGATGAATGATTGGAGACTCATACGTTAACTCATCTCTTTCTCTTTTCTTTCAAAACTGGCCAAGACCATGGCTATTGAAAGTAACTTCGAGTTCTCTACTCGAAAAGGGATATATTGGAACTTTATTATCATAATAAAGTTATGTGGGTGATAAGGGATCATTGCGATTAATGTAATGACGATTAGTAATTGTAATCTAATGTAATTTGATCGCATTTCGCCCAATTCTGACGTTAACGCGTCAGCAATCCTAATTTCGTCGAACGCAGGTGCACAGCATCCTGCAGCGCGGCCCGCGCGTCTTTATCTTCATGCGCTACGCCGACAATGGCGATCTCCTGGACTTCGTGCAGACCAACGGCATGGTGCCGGAACAACAGTCGCGATTGTGGTTTCGTCAGATGGCGTCCGGCTTGCACTACCTGCACAGCAAGAACATCGCCCACCGGGATCTCAAGTGCGAGAACATACTACTCTCGCGGAAGTTCAATGTGAAACTGGCGGACTTCGGTTTTGCCAGGTTCTGCATGGACCACGAGGGCAGGCGGGTCCTAAGCCAGACGTACTGCGGCTCGGCGGCTTACGCCGCGCCGGAGGTCGTCGCCGGCACTCCGTACAATCCGAAATTGGCGGACGTGTGGTCGCTCGGCATCATCCTCTTTATCATGCTGAACGCGACGATGCCGTTCGACGACGAAAATCTGCGGAAGCTCCTCAAGGACCAGATGTCGCGCAACTGGGTATTCAGGTCCCGTGTCCGCGACACCGTGTCCGCGCTGGCGAAGAACATCGTCCGGCAGATCCTCGAGCCGGACATCACTCTTAGGCTTACGCTCGAGAGGGTGCTGGGCCACGAGTGGGTGAGAGCGAGGAAGGATAGAACGGGCTCCCTCGTCGGAAGACTCGTCCACTCAGCACCGCCTAGTCATACTCCGGTTACGACAAACAGCATTAATTATAGAATTACATTAAAGGTTCCTGGTCTCTTAGTTATAGTGGATCATGATAATAGAAGCAAGGAATGTTTTTTATGCATTATAAAAAGCATTTTTTTTGTTAGCTATTAATTGAAATAGCATTGTAAGATTATTATAATAAGAGTTACAATGTGTGTAAAAAATTGATTTTAATGTGTCTTGAAGTGTAAAAACAAAATTTACATTATTCTGTTATAATTCACCTGTAGTGAGAAACCAGGAGTCTTGATTGACATGATACAAAAGTTTTTAAACACGTAACATAGGGTTTTATAAAGATTGCTACATAAAAATTAATTTACTTTTGAGCGCGCAATTGTTCACATAATAAGTCCGAGAAATAATTGCAACGTTCCGCACAAAAATTATTTCGAAGAAGCGTAACGATTTGTCGCCTGTGCAATTAGATGTGCGGAGGCGGTAATCTGGGCGGGTCGGGAATCGGAAACGTACCTGTCGTAACGAGGGCACTACCTGCATTGAAAAATTCGGACAATAAGAATCAACCGTCCTCGAAGACGGTAAATACCTCGGGGAAAGATCAGCAATTGCCTATCACCGTGGGATAAGAAGACACGCGAAGAGAATTAATCACACATCGACAAGCTATACAATTGAAAATACAAGAGATTGCAGACTAAAAATGTCAAACAATTATTTTCGAAAACATTTACACTTGTCTTTACGAATATTTTTTCTTAATTTCCTATTGGATTGCACGACCAATGCAAACTTACATGGATGTTGATAACGTATTATTGTTGCTTAATAAAGTCCATAATATTGCAATTTGATGTAAATTACCTGTCAAAAGTAACACGAGGGAAATTTAATCAATTAACGTTAAACGTTATTTAATAAAATCAATTTTCACTTTTTTTCTATAAATTGTCGAATTATAGTATGTTATTGATTTCACGGCACAATGGAGAGAATAGGAATTAAAAAGTCGGTCGAATACATTAATAAGTTTATTGTACAGTTACTGCCTATTAATATACAAAACTATAATCTTTTTTTTTGGTTACATACACATATAACGGGGTATCTTCTGTGAATGTAATATATAACGATATAAGTGATATATTTCTTCTTCTACATCTAATTTACATGAAAATAACAAATAATTTACACGATTCGATCTTTTGCGTTGTGAAGTCGAGCTCGGTTAGTATAGCACCTTGTGACACTGAAGAGGATACTGACACGCAATATGAGAGGGAGGATTATGAGAATTAAGTTTTTCATGCGACGTAAAAGAAATCGCCGACTGAAAATAATTTTTAGATTAACTCTTTTGGAACAGTTGTAGAATATAAAACACTCGAAACCGCACAGACGGTTTCACGCTATCCTTCCTTAAAGAATTAAAGAAATTTTCTTTTTTTGTGTAAAGCGTTATCTAACGTTCCGCGATATGTTCCACAGATTTTTGCTTGTACGGGCTTTACATATTTGTTCCTAAATTCGGCATTATTTATTCAATTATTTTTCGAAATAGCAAAAGTTTCGTATAAAAGTATAATCTTCATCTTTGTAAAATAGTTTCGCAGATGTTTATTTATAAAACCGTTGTAAATATAGAAAACTTTTTTTCGTGCAAAACAAACCATAATTGTGACGATTGTCAATATTATTTGTACCTTAATAATAAGGTAAACATATCGGTAAACATTTTTCTGAATTAGCCTCCTGTCGAATAAAAATAACTGTAGTTACTAAAACTCTTCCGTAGTGGAGGCAAATTAGACCAAAAAAGTGCGTTATCTCGGAACCGGTTAAAACTACTCGGATTTGAACGTTTTTTTTTTTAAATGTAGGTAATTAAAAACACTACAGTGTTTATGGGTTAAAAATTGACGCTTTAAATAGGAAATTCAAGAAATTTCCGAAAAATTGAAATTCTAAGACAAAACATTTTTTTAACGTACTAGCTTGCAATTTTTGCTTTTGTAATGTTATTTTTTATTCTGTAAAATATTACATTTCGAATTTTATAAATTGTAATCAATAAAAACATGATTAACTATCTGAAAAACCTCTTTTTTATAATTATTTTAAGTTTATAAGCAAAAAATGCAAGCTAGTTAAAAAATGTTTTGTCTTAGAATTTCAATTTTTCGGAATTTTCTTGAATTTCTTATTTAAAGCGTCAATTTTTAACCCATAAACATTGTAGTGTGTTTTTAATTACCTACATAAAAAAAAAAACGTTCAAATCCGAATAGTTTTAACCGGTTCCGAGATAAAAATCTAATTTGCCTCCACTACCGCTTACGCGTAGAAGGGACACAATATTCTATTTACAGTATACAATGTTAAAACATGATAAATACGATCAGATTTAAATATTTTTACAAGTGTCAACCAGCATGCAAAAACGGTCGGTCCTTGAACAGGCACGTAACGAGCGCGAATAGGTAATGCGTGGAACGCATCTCATCATCGCTTTTCAGAATATGTTAGTTTCGGTTTTATACACTCGTTGCAGTACTGGATTAAACCCATCCACCGGTCAACTTGTGGAACATCTCCTCGTTCAACGTTTGATTCGCCTCTTTCGAGCGCATTGATAGGAAGATGTAGCCTCCTATGAATTCATGGACAACCTTGCAGTCCGCTGATTGACATTCAAAAATGATATTTTCTTCCTCGAATTGTACCATCATGTGCTTTACTTCCCAGTTAACGTTCCACGCCTGTAAAAGAGACAAGATCATGCATTTTTAACTTGAGATATATACCTATTTTTCATTAAAAGCGTCTTTTGGAACTATGGAACTCCAGTCAATTCTAAACGATTTTTCTGTATCCAAAATTTATCGTTACTTTTCGATTTTTAAAACATTATAACTTTACCAAAATCTGTATGAATTAAAAGGATATTAAAAGAATATCTTAAAAGAATATATCTATTTTCTTGCTCTTAGAATTTAATTTTCGGAAGATCCATTATTTTTAATCCATAATCATGAAATACGGATATTTTTGTAAAGAAAAAATTAGTTCAAAATTGCCCCAAGTATCTGGAAGGAAGCGCGTTTAGGGATATCCGCGAATAAAAGTTTACGAGAGGATACAAACAACACATAAAATATGCAAATGAATACGTACCTTCATGGTGTTATATCTCCAAGTCTTTAGATGATCGCCACTGTGAAGATCCATCCGCATTAGCCTGTTATTGGCGATACCTAGCAGCTCGTCCTTGCTCTTACCGGTAAATCGCACGACAAAAAGCGAGATACCGTATTCCGGCAGGGACTGCCATGCCTTGATATAATTCAACTTCGCCTCGATGAGGTGCAGGTCTTTAACGTTTGCGTGTGCTTCCAAGATTCTCTGCACCAACTATGTGGAAAACAAAAAGTGTCAATGCGACTAGTTGGTTCGATCATTCATCACTTAATCGAATGCGAATGATTTGTTACCTTTCCTTTGAACTTCTTTGCAAATCTAGGCGCGACATAGTCTTCCGGTACGATGTCCATAGCGCTCGGATTGATGACCGGCGCGGGCGCGGGCCTCTGCAGTTGCAGAAAAGCTGTGATACTGTTGACCTCGCTCTCGTAGGACGCATCGGCGAGGGTGCGGCCCTTGGCCGCTAATCTGCACGCAGCCATCCACTTTGCGTATTGTTGTTCCTAAAATAATAAAGAATCGTGATGGGATCGAATTCAAGCGAGTATCTGGGAATCGAATCAGTTCTAACATTTAGTTTTTATTTTGTAAAACTTGAGAGAAACTCCACTCGTGAGAACTCCGTTTTCGATGCAACATGTATGTTATTATATGTTGGCGTGTGGCCAAACACCAACGTGTGACAAGCGTTAATATATATTTGAGAACGGTTAATTCAATAATGCTGCTGCTTGGCGACGACACGCCACATTAATGCGAGTTTAATCCGCTTACGTTGTCGCATCTTATCCACATCTCGGTCATGCCTTCGGCGCTGGGCACCTCCAGTCTGATCCCGTAGCGACCTTGCGACAGATGTACGTCCGGCGTGACCTCGCAGCCGCGCAAATTGATCACGTAGACCGGCGATTCCGAGCCACCCGCCTCCTCCCTGCTTTTGTAGAGCCTGAGCTGGAGATCGCGGCACGTAAACCAATAGCGTTTGAAGGCTTTCAATGTGAAACGCTTCGGCTTGAAGAAACGCAGTTCGTCGCAGAGCTCGGGCACCTGCGTAATGTCGCTGGGTCCGTTGCTGATGTTGCTGCCCTCCAGGGTCACCTGCAGATCCGTCAAGGCCGCGTCGATATCGTCCTCGACGGGCGAAGTCGCTCCGTTGCTGTCGTAGGTGGGCTGCGGCACGCTCGCCTGAAGATTCACTTGTACCTGCAATGGAGAAGCGTAGGTAAAATTTCTTGTTTTTTTTTCTATTTATTTTCCTTTCCGTTCAACGTTGCGAGGACGGGGAAAGTGGGTGTGCAAGAGGTACAAAACACATTTTGTGGGTCGAGGCGAGATGATCACATATCTTTTCTTGGTTGTGTTGTCGCGTGACGGCATCGCGGCTATGGTGGAACACCGGCTGGCGGCCGGAGCAATCGGTTCAAGGACGTGACTATTTGCATGTATTATGCGTCGCGTGGGGTTCCTCCCTCGCGACGAAGCGGCATAAATATATCGAGAACAAACCGGCACGGTGAGTCGTATATATGGTCGCAAAGAATGGAAGGATCAAATATCGAAAACCGAGATACGAACGCATTCCAATGTCTCTATCCGCCTGCGTGATACATTTGCATCTGTCGTAATATTTATAAGCGAATCTCCATATCGGTTCTTGTCACGTCGGTCTATTTATACCATTTAACATTATACCATTTTACATTAGACCGCGTTTATTTTCTACAAGCGTTTTAAAAAATTTCGACACGCAACGTATTAATGATCATTTCTGCCGACACAATGATCGTTCAGATACCTGAAGCGCCGCGAACATCAACATCTCCTCCTCAGTGCAGTCGATCTCCTCCGCGAGCAACTGCCACTTGGCTTGCTCGTAAATCATGTTGATGCGCACCGCGTCGGTCTTCGGATTCAGGTCGTAGAAGGAGTAGAATTTGAACTTCAGCCTGAGCGTGTCGAATTCGCGGATACCCTGCTCCATGATCGACAGGGAGGAATCCAGCCAGGCGACGTTCATTCTCGCCCTCTCGATCAGGCTCTTCGGCCTGACCAGCTTCACCCGCACCTCCGGCGAGATCGACGTTGGGCTCTGCGCCAAGGACTCCGTCAGTCCGCCGTTCAACGCCTCGAGGCTCATAGTGCTGTTATTCGCGTTGAAGGAGCCGGTGCTGCCGAAGCCGGAGGAATTGTTGTTCCTCTTCCACGTGCCGGTATACTGGAAATTGCAAGCGCAATTTTGATGCATCGTCATAAAATAACTACGACATGATTACGTTATCTACGTTATTCAGATCTGTCCAACATATCATGACCGTACATTCCATAAAATTCATTCTATTTTGATCCTTTTTCAAAGAAATTACTATACATATTTAATGAAACAAATATGTAAAAATATAGATAACAGTAATATTTTATTTTATAATTCTAAATATTTAGCAGTATGATCACAGTAGGAACGAAAGGAAAGAAAGATATCGTTTGTGTACGGTAGGCCTACCGAGACGGGAGAGCTGATCGGCGTGCTGTGATTTCTGTTGTTAGGCGTAACCGGCGCGCACATGAATGGGCTCGATTGATCTAAACTTCCTGTGGATCCCCTGGGACTCTGGCTGGCTGGGATGAAGGTATTCGTGTCGGCCGGTACGTTCCAATGCCCGTTCTTCTGATTCTCAATTTTCTTCTTGGCCGGCAGATCCTTCAGATTGTATTTCAGGTGATTCGGCTCGAGCGGCTTGCAGAACGAGAGCTCCTCCGGGTGTCTAATGCCTGCGGCAACGATCGTAAGGATTTGATTAATCTCGCGTTAGAGTCAAGTCTATTCGACTGAGGAGAGAGATAGAGAGATAACGTGTCTCTCCCTCGCTTCAGCGCGAGGAGCCAAAGGCGAAGTAAAAACAATCATGACATTCATTCCCTATATTCTTACAAGGGAATGGAGTAATTGACGGACAAAGATCGCGTTGGTGTCTATTTATGAATATGACACACTGATCTCGTATCGTCGATGCTTATTTATTAAATAGAATCACTGATAGAACTGGGCGGATAGTACTGGGAGGATAATCCGAATTATTTTATTTTTTGAATATCCAGATATTCAAAAGAGAAAAATAATAAAGGAATAATCTGAATATTCGAAATTATTGGATTGAATTTTTATTCGTTATGGAGTTTGAATTTACTCCAAATTTGAGTCAGTATGTTCACTCTATTTAGAGTGAAATTTCACTCCAAGGAGAATTATGCGAGAATATATAATAAAAAAATAATATATATAATAATAATCTGTTAGCATTATATAGATTAATGTTAACACATTTGAGTTTTGATTTATTTTTATAATAAGCCGAAAAGTAAACAAATGTTTAAAAAAAGTTAGTTATTTTTTATAAATTTCCTATTCCTGTATTTAATACGATTTTATAGTTTTCCCGAATATCCGGATTTTATAGGATTTTATTTTTTCATATTCGAATATATTCGGCTATCCGGATAGTCTCAGCACTAGACAAAAGTGCAAAAACGGTAGCGAGTTTGGAACAAGCTGAGTCGCGTAAAGATCAACGGTCACCTCGCTTCAAGGCAACGCTATAACGCAATATTTCCCGAACGCGGAATTACTTTTTAGGTCATTAGCAGAATGATAAGCGCGTATCTGCAACGGTACTTCCTCCTACTCGGGGAGTTAGCTTTATCCTCGCGACGGGAATTATCGCGTTAACCCACTTCCTTGATTAAAAAGCGAGCTCGGTGAGCATGCCGCGGTGGCGAAATCGACAGCCGCGACGGTTTATGCGCGACCTTCGCGTGACAAAAGTGAGCTTATCGCTTCTATTTCGTTGCCGCGTGCAATATTAATTATAAGCGTTGACACGCTTATCCACCTCGTGCTACGACGCGCTTGCATCGCGACCCTTGCCACATTTATCTATTGATAATAACTACATAAAACTTTGTAACGAAGTGTAATAATTTCTCGACGTGCCCTGAAAACGCGACGTAACAAACGATTTCGTAATTTGGGGAGATTTCTTGCTCAATCGGTTTGTCATGAAAAAGACGAGGCGACGTAAAGTCATTCGGATAATCATAGAAGCAGCCAGGCTGCTGTTGCAAAATGGATTACGTAATATCATGTCGAAATATATACACGGAGTATCCCGTTTTTCTCGAAGCGTATTCTATTTTCAACGAAAGCTGAAAACACGATGCTGCAGCATCCGTGTGTAAAAAAGACGCGAAATTTTTCTAGTTAAATACATCTACTAACTATACATTATATCTACAATGTTAATCGATTGACGTCCGCGACATTCTTTCTCTCGTTCCTCGTAATCGTCGTTAACGAAGGCACGCAGCCGCGCTCGATTGATTCGCTCGTTTCCATCGCGACTCCTTAAATGGTGTCAATGGGTTCGCGGACACTCACCGAGTTCCTTGCACAAATTGATGACCGCGTTGAACGTCTTGACGGAGAAGTCAACGCGGCAGTCGAGGCATCGCATGTCCGGCAATTGCACCCTCAGGGTCTTGTGCATCGGCGTGAAATGCAGCAACGCGTCCGCCGCCACGCCATACTGGTCCAGGGTGCTGCGTGTTCGGGTCAGCCAGTGATTCCGTACTGGCCACCAAAGCGCGTGGTCCGACCAGTCCATAGCGATGTCTGTAACGATAGATGTAAACAATTTAATTCAAGTACGAAGAGTAAATCGTTTTTTTTATAAGTAAAATTTTAATTAAGTTATATGAGAATAGTGGGCCAACGATTGTTAACGTAAAATCTTGTGTTTAGCTCGTATCGTGTTGGTTCCCTATTTTCTCATATCTAAAATTAATTAATAAAACAACTTACTAAAATTATCTTAAGTTAAAACGAATTTGTCGATATTATACTATTACATAATGAGTGGCATGGCAGGTCTAAAACACTCTATATATTACAGTTATCTGCTATTTCGGTACTATTTCATAGCTGCAAGTAACTATAAAATAATGTTAATATCCAACGTTACATTCGCGCGTCGCTGTGTATTTAAATAATTCTCAAAACTATTTTTTCACGATTTCATAATAATTAGTTACGGATACATAAATTTCAGAATTATCACATTACAGTTGGCCGAATTATCTTGTTTTTTGAAAATCCGGAGAACCTGAGTTTATATCTGTCGGTTTTTGAGAGCATTCGAACGGGAGAACACGATGTTTATGTACACGTCGATCCCAAGTAAATATACTCAAGGGCTCGGTAGCGGGCGAGATCGGATGCGAAGACGAGAAGAGTGCAATGCCGAGAGTAAATTCAAGGGTTTCGTCCGTCGAAAACCGCAGGGGCTGCTCGCGCGAGTCGGGAACAAGATATCCGTCGACGGAATTACGGAGCGCAAACGGGCGTTTATGCTTCGTCGAAAAGTCAATTTTCACAGCTGTTCGCGCCGCGTAGCACATTTCCTATACGTGCTTCGTTTAACGATTTCGGGGTACCGAAGGTCGATGCGGGTCCCCAGGGGAGAGAGGGGCGCCGGCGGGAAGTATCGCTTAAAATCACCATTAAGCCGTATAGACATGTGGGACTGCAATCGGGAGGGGCTGGCGCGCAGAGACGCGCAAGGGAGACCCCGAAATCGGATACGAATGAGAGGAAATGTACACATATGAGAACACAATTATAATCTAATTACAAATATAAAGTTGCGAAGGGTATTTCCGTAACGAGAAGCGAAAAGAGCCGATTGGAACCTGGATTACGCGATGGCGAGGGAGGCCGCGGATCTGCGAGGTCTAAATAACACTTTTTAAAAACTTGCGTGTAGCCGGAACGAAATACGTTTTTCCTGCCTGTCCAGATCGGTTCCACCGCGATCGCAGCTGCGATCTATAAATATTTCGCGGATTTCAGATTGGCCGCTCGATCGTTAACTGCTTGTTTTCGTTCGGATAGCCGGCCACTCCGCGTCTTCCCGGACTCGCCCACGCGCGGAGAAGACAGAGAACAGATTTATTTCTTGTCTCTTGCTCTTCTGTTTCCACATCTGCGTCTTCTCTCGTTCCCATTTAACTGGTAACGACGGCGCGTTGCTGTAATAACGTATCGTCCACGCGACGATCGAGATCATCGCAAATCGCTATGGACAAATATGTACACTGCAAGTTAGCGGTAAGATCTAAGAAAAGAAATCATCGTGGACGACGAGAATTATCGATATTGTTGCAGCTTGCATCCGAAAACGCGCCGATATTTATCGATATTCCGCAAGGAAATGGTTAAATGTTAAAATGTAATTTATCCCCGAGTAACGTTCATATTCGATAACATTGAATGATTAGTTATACTCGATACTCGACTTAATTTCTTACTACTCATTAATTTCTGTCGCGTTGATATTTTTCAATAAGGTTTGCGTGAATCGAGAGATTAATTGATATATATTCCTATATATATTTGGGAAGAATCCCATAACTCTATTTTTTTTAAATATTAATATAAGTATAATACCATTAATATATAACTCCGAAAGAAGTAAAAAAAAAATACATATATTCTTATTACATTCATAATCTTATATTATACTCTATAAGATTAAATGTGTCGCGAAAAATGTGATATAAATTGCAAATTCAAGCAAAAATTGATATAAATATAGTGGGTCATCAAATCTTCTTTTTTCCATAAAAATGCAATATTTTGAGGAGGCATGAATATTTTTATGACTCGCTATACCGCCGCCTTCGTTTTAATCGTCGAGAAACAACAAAACTGAGAGAGTACGTGATTGATAGACTTGACATCGAGCAACAAGTCGTAAACGGGGTGTCCCGCCACTCTCGTCGTTCCTTTCACCCAGTGATTCCTCGACCGATTTGGAATCGATTTTTTTCTTTGGCGAGTAATAGCTCGAGTACAGTCTTTTTTAAATTCCGAATGTTAGATTCTTACTGTATTAGTAACTAACACAAATTGCAACGATGTAAGACTGAAAGTTGCATAAATGCCTCAGCATTAAAACAACAGTATTTTTTTAAATTTCTATTTAACAATTTTTCAAAATATTCTATTTTTTCACGAAATTTGCCATTATAATAAATGTAATATCATTATATAAATATAATAAATGTAATGTATATAAATGTAATCCCACTATAAAGAAGATTAATTACATTTAATTTGATTTAAATAACAAGAAACCAAATATTTCTAAATAAATAAACAAAAATAGATCTTTATAATTTTCTTTAAGAAAAAAAAAAGAATATAATAGAATTTCGAGCCATAGAAATAATTTGTAACGATAAAACAAGCCACACATAATTCAAGGTAAGCTTTTCGATTTTATAAAAAGTTTGACTAATAATGATAAACTAATAATATAAATTTAGAAACAGTTTACATATATTTCATTAATCTCGTATCTTCTTCTCTTCATGGAATGCGTATACTCGTCGCGCGGGCGAATTTTACGAAGCGGTCTGACGAATACGTGCAATTACGGAAAGTAAAAATCAAGAACGTCGCTGAATGCGGATTAGACCATTCGACTTGCGTTCACGAATTGCTTTCGTGGCACGTCTCGGTAGCAACGACCGCGATATTTGCGCACGGCACCTATTTATATTCCCTTAAGAGTATGACGGGCTCATACGCGACATCCGCGGCTCGACACGTAAAATTCAGTCTCTGGTGCGAGGCAGGAGGCAGAGTCAGTCCGTCTGTTCTCGTTACGTCGTCGAAGAGTTGCGGGGGAGAGCTCTCACCCGCATGCGGTTCCCGAGCAAGGTATCCAGGAGCGGAAGAGTTGGTCGGCTTGATACAAGAATCCTATTTTAGCATCCTCGTGTCTGGATTTGGAGGGTCCGACGCGAGAGTTTCATCAAGAGAATTCAACAGCATACGATTCAATAGCTCCGTTGATCTTTTGTCGTGGAAACGTGGGCGATTACTGGACTAAAACAGAGCACATTCGATCTCTTGCGACTAACGAAATAACTCTGACGAAAGGGAAAACAAGTTTAGAACCTGAAACAGGCTGTACGAAAATACGACGTAACTAACGTTCACGGCTTTCTGGTTAACACATGGCTACGGAAATTTGGAAAGAGGCCTCGATCCACGGTGGCGGTATTGCGAAGTTGTGTGGACGGAACATCCGCTAGCTGTAAACGACGAAAGGCTTACGGGGCACGTGCGGCCTGTGTAAACTCCGAAGGAGCGTTTACAAACGCTGTTCGGCGCAAGAAGGGTGAGCTTTAATAAGGGAACAAAGCGGGGCGCGCACGTGGCGGCGCGCACCAACATCCCCCTTACCCCCTTACGACGACGGACGTTGCGCGGAAGTCGGAATATATAAAATTATGAGACGCGATAACGAGGCACTCGTAATCCGTGTATTATGCATTATATGCAGCAAGAGAACCGGAATTCTCTTTCTCCCTCTTCTCTACGTGAATTCCAGCGCGGAAAGCAAGGAGCTCCTTCACGTTCTCCCCCTTGACTCTCTCCATATTTCGCGTGAAGAAACGCGAGCTATTCAGCGCTGGGAAAGAGGATTGCATCAGGGACACACGTGCTACTGAGCTTGTCGAGATCGAAAGAGAAAGGGGCAAGACTACCTCAGGGATAAATCGAGGGATGAAACATTGCAGAGATTTAAAACAGCGTAATTTCGACGCTGCGCTACGAAAAGCAACGTCCTGTATCGATTGTTCGCAAATATATATTTTGCACACAAAGTTTCAACTTTTTATTACATAAAATTCTTTAAAATTTGAGAATTAAGGTGAATATCATATAAGCTCACGGATTTCACCAGATAGACGTAAAATCAAAAACTAATTGAAAAAAATATATTTCTTTGTGTGTGTAATATATCTCGATTAATGTAAATAAGAGACGCTAAAAAACAAAATTGAAAGTAATTTGTATTTGTTATCTGAATTATTTTGACAAAGATTTAAATCATATGCTTCATCGACGCACAAGATATCGATGATTGGCATGTGTGATATTACATGATATCTCGTATCTTATCTTTTTTCACATATTGCAAAAATGTCACGCGCTAGATGCGCAGAGGAGTTACGTGTATAGATAACAATTTGAATAATACCTGATAATATGTATGTATGTATAAACCGAGACAGATGCTAACAAATAAAATAGGAATCTGTTAATTATTAATTGGAGAATAAATTGGAGATGTACAAATTAATAGTAATGCAATTAATTGTGATATCGTAACTCATAATATCGTAAAAGAGATAAATTTCGCATGACGCAACGATTTCTAACATTTACGATAATTCCTTGATATTCTAATAGTTGTCTCGCCTTGGTAGAACACCGTCTTTAACTTCGCTTGCTCGAAAGAAAAAAAAAACGAAGGCCGCGCGTAAATCCGAGTCTGAGGTCTGAGTCGCACCCAAACGAAGGCGTTGTCCAAGTATACCCCTCGCTACTCGTGTTTCTCGTCCCTCTTCACTTCAAAGTCCAAAGCGTGCTTCAACATTGTCGAGCCACCCTCTTACGATGTACAAAGGCATGCGTGTACAGTAGTAGCCGGGAGTATCACATGGAGACCAGAACACGTCTCAGTCCCTTTGGCTGTTCGCCCAATTAACCGCGTCGCTTTCTCTTTGCAATTTTATAAACGCCGGAGTCCCA